GATAGATAGATAGATAGATAGATAACTTTATTTATGACACGAAAAATCATCAGTTAAATATCATAATAAAAATAGAGTTACTGTTTTACAATATTGCCGTGTGCGAATCCGAAGAATTATAATGAAACGTGACTCAGTTTGCTCTTAAATGTGACACGAAGTCTTGCCTGGCATATTCTTAGTAATACGCCGTCCAAACAGACCCTCAGGCTGTGTCTTTCTTTGCTAATCAAATGTAAATCTGTGGTTCAGTCATGTCAAACTCTCTTTCCTTCTCGAGACACCCGAGCAAAAACATCGACAAGTTGGGAAAGTCAGCTCAAAGGCGCGATAAGATTCTATGACACCAAATAACGCCAACACTTAGCTGATAGTTATTTRTGATCACAGCGCGAAACGCTTCCAGAAGAATTGAATGGTCTATAAGGCGTAAAATTGTTAAGCATTTAATAATAGTTAGTGATGCTACGGTCAAAGACGCAGCGAGTTACGATATTAATATCGAAGTAAAAAGGTCAATATTATAGGATATTAAGTATTAACGTGTGTCGGTGATCATCCTTTTAGGATTGCCGGGATAATCGATAATCTAGTAGCTAACCAATCGATCCAGAAGCAATTCAATACGACAAGCTGAGGGATTATCTAAAGGGTTTTARACTCATGTTCTGCAAATATGCCTTGTGGTGTGCCATTAGTAAATGTCAAGGAAGAAAAATCAAATATCGTTAGTTGATGCACAACAGRTCATTCTCCCTGGAAGTTTCTATTTTAACGATATTCCGAGCTTTTCGTTTATACCCCTATTTTAATCATTCTCGCTAAATCCTTACTACTCGCATTTTCTAACYAACTTGGGTCATAACATAGTCCAACTGTTTACAAAAATTGCTAGGATAAAGCGAACAATATTCTTGGTTATTTAACCTTCGCCTGGAATTAAAACTTTGGATATCAATACTTGTAACGAAGTAAAAGTAAGAAAGATYTTTATAGAACTTCTCCAGTCGTTTTGGACCCGGAATTAGTTTTCCATACGAGTGACTTCACTCTTTTTTAAGCTTTTAGCTGCCACTTTACATGAATTAATGATGACGAGAGAGTATAAACCAATTTGTTTTTTAAAGATAGTCCTTGAGGGAGTATTATGCAGTCACTGCTTATGCCGAAATATAAAGTAAATGTGAAGTATAATAGTAAGTAAGTAAGTAAGTAAGTAATAGTTTGGCATCTTGTACACAATATGGTACATCGATCGACCTATTAAGAATGATGAAGTTAAATATCGATAATTCCATCAATAAGCCTTTTCATAGTTTAAGAATCGATTCCACTGCGCATGCAATTTTATCCCGAATTTCTCACCTTCTTTTGTCTAAACCTTCTTTTGTTCTTAATTAAACAAAAGAAGGTGAGATATTCGGGATAAAATCGCATGCGCAGTGGAATCGATTCTTAAACTATGAAAAGGCTTATTGTTGTTATGCCTGAAGTTTATTATCTTATTTCTCTATTCTTTCTTTTCAAAGGACTGTAATTTCGTAGATGTATTATGCAATTATTTTTGTGTATGATTATGTTATTATTTTGTTGTGGTCGGAATTCGAAGTTAAATATATCATTCTAGTCAGTCAGTCCCCCTCCTCTCCCCTCCCCTCCCCTCCCCTCCCATAACACAAAGTTTCATTTCGTTCAGCCACCAGTGAACTAAATCACTTGTATCTGAAAAAAATCTCGGCTCCCAAATTTAATGAAAAAGACTGACGAAGGATATAGCTATGATGTAAACACTGCCCAACGTAGACAAAACCGACTAAAACAAGACCTAAAACAAGACCTTAATCAACATAACAAAGTTCCGTCACATCATMTATAAATCATGACCTTATACTGATCCAGAATATTATATTCTGCTCGTATTGAAATACCATTCAGCAGACACAGGAAGCCCATGCAATGATCTCGTCCTGTATGGTGAAAACATACCAGTAATCTTTTTATTGTCCTAATTATCGTATGTTATGAAATTATATATTATATTATAAGCCAAGCCTTGTTTGTGCTAATGGATACTCATACTTGCTAAATAATTAACATTAGAGCAGGTAATTTGAGTTTTTTTGTAGAAGTGAACGTGTGCCATGCAGGTGTAAATATACGATCCCTATACAGTGATATCATTGGAAACTCGCCTTATTGTTTCATGCCCAATAATGTATTTTGTATTTTGAAAGTTTGGCAGCCTGATGCTCGACTATCTTAAACTGTTGTGACCGAATTCCGGATAAAAATCGTAAGAATTGTATAGTCTAGAGCAGAAAGAATTGATATAGAGGCTACGAACTTGGACGYCTAACAGGTGAGATCAAGACATTAAGTGAAAAGATAAAATTAAATATGTTAGGTAATATTCTAKTGAGCAAATTGGGAAAATCTACCGCAAAGACAAGCAAATTATTGAACTGTCTGCCTCGCTAAAAAATAATTAGGTATAGCTGATAAATAATAAAATTGGACTATAAGATGGAAACCTCGATTAATGAGTGAATTGAGCTGTAATTTCTGATCTCGTCACGTTACTCTTACAGAAGCCATTAAAATGTAAGGTAGTTTGTGCTGTCACAATCAATTTCTATTCTAACTACAAGACGTTTTTTTATTCTCATAAGCCGTGTGCATCTGTCTTGTCATCTTTCTCATCTGTTCTCTTATTTCCATGTTAATGTACGAAAAACTTCGTTTCATGAAAGCATTTGGTTATTAGGCGTACGTATAGCTATTTTCCTATATTTTCTGCTAAAGTATTTTACAACATAGAAAGTGTTACTTCAAACATACGATACTGAGCTCTGACTGATTGTAATAAATCTATCTTTCAGATGTTAGGCGAGTGAGATGATCCAATATCTCTGTATGTGGGAAAATACCTCGGAATTTTACAAATTTTCTTTTTATTATAGTCGAAATGTTCATGAARTACTAAATAGCAAAGTTATGTAACGTACGGCTACATATCGTACCGAGTAGACGAAGTGGACGAATCATTCAGCTTACGATTCATGCCTTAAACCTTGTGTGATAATATTAAGGGATACTCGAATGAAAACTTTGTCAGGATGTTTGATATTATGAGCTAAAAATACCGTTTTCAAAAGATGATGATGTATTTGACTGAACTTAACCAAAATGTAAAGGTATAAAACTTCAATATATTTTATTACTCTTAGTATCTACGTAATTCTTTTTCGAAATGTTAGCGGCTTGTTACGTTGGATCTTTCGCTTTTTTTCTTTCATAAAGTAGTATATAATATAGTAGTATAAAATAGTCACATTTTATTTAAATGTTTTCTTGTGAAAAATTATATTCCCTTTATCTATATTCCTAAATTTTAAGGGCGAAATACTTATATCYAAGATATGATCATAATGAATATAGGCGTTTGAAGAGTATGAAAAACAGCTCGTTGTAGCGACAATAGAGCTCTACTGAGACGTGGACCATAACAATGCTTCTTTTCACTCTCTCTACAAAGAAGATGACTTAATTATTCGGGCCAGTTCAAAGTGGTTGGTTTTAGATAAAACTACAAAACAAAACGGACACTTGAAAGAGCAAATGGAAGGGAATGTTTGTAAGGATTCTATAGAAATATGRATTACTTTATTTGAAATAATATTGAGTTAGAATTAAGGTTTGGTATGTTTTTAATGCTGTTCTTTAAAGAACCGTGTCAGAAGGGTTTTTACACAATTCGTAGACGGATTCGCCGAAACAAACTGAGCTCTAAATTTCGTACTGAGGAAAAAATAGTGTTTGGGTAGCGTGGAATTGAACAATCAATATCATGGGGTGCAAGGAAGAATGGCAATTTTTGATCTATTCTTTTGAAGTTTTAAAACCAAGAATATGAAAGAAAAAAGAAGTACAAATAAGGGCGGAAGGATTTAATTGCCGTCAGGTCCGAAGTCCATACGACGCTCCAGCTCTGCGGATGTCTCGGTGGTATGGCAGTGTAGAAAAAAAAAATTTAAACTTATTTTAATTAATTAAAAAATTCCTCTTGCAAGACGTTAGTTCGAATCGCCTCGTTCCAAGTTAATTTTTTTCTTTTTTTTATATCTTTAATTCAGTTCTGAATTCGCAAACTGCTTTAAACTCACAATAGGCTATCTTTGTATAAAGMAAAAACAGACTTGTTGCGTACGTTAAATGCATTATTTTAAGCAGCTTCGACCCGTGAAAAATGCCAGYCAAAATTTCCTGTTTTCAGATAGAAGGTAGTCATATTGGATCAAGCCACTAGGTGCCTTAGTTGAGTCTTGATGATGATGCAGGATGGTGGTGAAGATGATGATATTGCCGGATGGTGATGATGATGATGACTGAGGAGGAAGTTACATGATGGTGATACAGGATGATGATGTTGATGATGATGATGAAACAAGATGGTGATGGTCATGATGATGGTCGTGATGATGTTGGTGTTGTTGTTGTTGTTGTTGTTGTTGTTGTTGTTGTTGTTGTTGATGATGATGATGATGATAATGATATTTTTCTACCCTTCCACAGGTCATGTCGCTAAACCCCTCGACATCTCAACGAGGAGGACAGAGTAAAATCCATCCTTGGACATTACGACATGACTCGCTCTTCAAAGCCATCTGGGATTGGCTGATCCTCCTTCTGGTCTTTTACACGGCCATCGAGATTCCATACACGGTAGCTTTTACACTCGTTCAGCAAATCAAAAAGAGAAAACCTTCGTCTTGGTTTATGACTGAAGCAACTCCTCTACACATCTGCAATCTTTGGGTAGATATGATGTTCATCGTGGATATTTTGATCAATTTTCGAACGACTTTCATAGCTCCTAATGGTGACGAGATTATCAGTCAACCTAAGAGAATTGCGCTTCATTACTTGAAGACGTGGTTTATCGTAGATTTCTTTGCAGCCATTCCATTCGACATCATGGTAAATCCCTCTGCTGAAGGGGTGAGTGACAATGTAAGCATATTCAAACCAAATACCGCTGTGTGTTATTAGCGCATTCGCACCTTCTAAACAACGTCTCTAAGTAAGTAATCTAGCTAACGTGTATTCTTTACCAAAAARTCGTATGTGTTATTTTGGTACGAAAGAGACGGAGTGTTTAGGAACTGCGTTGTGAAGATTTCACACAATGTAATTGCTAGTCGGTAAGTGTTCTTTAGCTTTTTTTTTTTTGCCTGTCTGCCTGCTTGCCTTTCTGCCTGTCTGTCTGTCTGTCTTTCTTTCTTTCTGTCTTTTTTTTCCTTTCTATCTTTTTCTCTCCCTTTTGTATATCTAATGCGTTATCGTTTTTATGGCCAATTCAACCTGTGAAATTGTCGTCGATTAGTTGTTTGGGTATTGGAATCCGCGTCAGATGACATTCCAAAAACACATAAAAGCTGCAAGTACGCCGTTTTGTACACTCAAGACTAGATTTAGGTCGTTACTTATCATTTGTGACGCGAACATCGTCGTATTTAGTTATTAAGCTATCTAACGTTACTGCTTCAAAAAATCAAAGAGCTTTCGCTCCTTTTGGAGTCAAAGTCACATGATTTTTTTTTGTTCACACAGGCAGCAACTTTAATCGGTCTGTTTAAAACAGCACGTCTTCTACGACTCGTTCGTGTGGCTCGTAAACTCGACCGCTATTCTGAGTACGGCCTTGCGGTGGTCATACTCCTCACCTGTTTATTCACTCTCTGTGCTCATTGGTTAGCTTGTATATGGCACGCGATAGGAGACGTTGAATTCAACCAGCAGAAAGGATGGATTTGGTCGCTGACAAATGATCTTGGAATGAAATATAATGCTTCAGATCCGAGCAATGATGGACCTGCGTTGGATGATCGGTACATCACGGCATTGTATTTCACGTTAACAAGTCTGACGACTGTCGGTTTTGGTAACATTTCACCCGACACCAATGCAGAGAAGGCTTTTTCTATATGTGTTATGATTGTTGGCGGTATGTATCTATTTGGTCAATTTTACCACCATTCAATTCATTGACTACCAATAGRGGCTTTGCACCATCACGTGATGGCAGCCATGACAAGAGGCACGACAATAGAGTCGTTCTCCCCTGGGAAAATGATTTCTTTCTCGTGTAAATCAGATTAGACCAAATTTAATTGCTCCTGCCTGCTGTCATGACTGCAATCACGTAATGGTGCAAACCCTTTATAGACCAAGGAATGCAGCGGCATTTGAGTAATACTAACTTTCCATCCAGGCAAAACACAAAACCGTCACGACCACGGCAAGACACATGGACGCCATGAGATGCAATAAAAAATCTGCTCTAACTACTTGATTGGTGCTTAATTGTTATGACAGTTTTTGAATTTTTTCCTTAACAGCACTAATGTACGCATCTATTTTTGGAAACCTGACCGCTATCATCCAGAGACTCTACTCCAGAACATCGCGGTTTCATAAAGATTTAAGAGTCATCGAGGAGTTTGCTAAATTCCATAAAATTCCGAATAGTTTACGAGAGGACCTCGAAGAGTACTTCCGACACGAATGGAATTACACTAAAGGGGTCGACATCGAAAATGTAAGCCAAACGATGTTYGTTGTTTATATTCGGGAATCTTTAACAGCTATTCTTAGTATCTAATATTTGCCGTATGTTCTCCCACGTCCGTTTTCAAAGTACGCGACCATAAAACTATCGGGTTAAAATTACAGATCTGGGTGTTTGCTTCCGTAAATACATATAAGTATCCATTAGACAACATGTATGCATCTGATGGGTGCGCATTGTGCTTGAGTTTCTGTCTATCTGTCTGCCTGTCTGTCTGTCTGTCTGTCTGTCTGTCTCTTTTTTTCCCCTGTCTATATCTTTCCAGAGTTGGAATTTGGCCTTCCTCCTCGTCTAGAATCAACATATTTCAAGGGCCTTCTGTCATTAAGAATGAAATAAGTCGTTAGGRAACTTTGATTGTCTGAGTAGCGTAATCCACGCACAAAGTCATAATTATGGAACATACTCTTTCAGGTTCTCAAACGATTTCCYGAGTGTCTACGAGCCGATGTCTGCCATTATCTTCATAAAAAATTGTTCAACGAGTGYTCAGCATTCGAGAACGCAGAAGAGGGCTGCTTGCGTGCTTTGTCCATTAGGTTCTTTATACGTCACTTCCTGCCAGGACATTATTTAATCAAGCAAGGAGACGAAGTGACCAATTTGTATTTCATTGTAAAAGGCAGCATGGAAGTGGTCAAAGATGGCATGACAGTTTTAACGTTAGGTAAGCAAGACTTCAAAGTCAAACAGATTACTTAGCGGACACTAAGTGCTAAGGAACCGTTAAGGGTTTATGGAAGGGGAACTGGCGAGAAAAACAAAGCATTTCTTATCAGCTTCTCTTGACAAATCAACCAACATGGCGACTGTTTCATTGTTATTTTTATTTATATTTTGAGTCATGCACCCCAAGAATATATTTGTTTATTAATCTAGAACTATTTGGTAAACCTTTTCAATTTAGTCATAGCTGTTATTTAAGGTAAATCTAGATATATATCTAGATATATATCTATCTATATAAAGTGAGCTTTGTCAATATTTGATTATAGGTAAAGGTGACACAATAAGCTGTGATTATGGGTCTCTGCACAGTACATACCTACCCAAAGCAAACGCWAGTCTCCTGATACAATCGCACACCGAGATCCACTACATCCCTTGGAACGATCTTCTTGTGGTCCTCAAGGCTTATCCCAAATTTAGAGAGGAATTTTTAAACGAACTGGAGCTGGCCTACAACCTAGGAGAAACAGAAGAGGTAATGTAGACTGGACCCATTCCAAATAGATCCACTTTATCTTAATGTTGTCTCATTCCAATCCACGTATCATTCCCTTTAGTATTTTCCTTTTTTTAATGACAATGTTTGAGAAGATCYGAATCATCATATGGATGAAACTTGAACAAAGAATCTTATTCCCATGTAAGGAAGCGAGATAAAATGTTGTCTTGAACGGGATGACACTAGGTATACTAGTGATCTCAAYGTACGTGGTGTTTTCTGTTTTAGCGTCAGTACAAACCTTCTTATCTAGAACAGAATGCATGCTCACTGTTTATACAAYTCAGAAATACTCAAATTGGGTCTATTTATTAAAATATGAATACTTTTTTTTACRATTGCAGGAGGAGGAATTCTTTCTGACCGAGAATCCAACAAAGCCCAGAGCACGTCGATTATCGAACGCACGATTAACCTTACAAACGAATAGTCGGAAGGAGTCAATGGAKGAAAACGCGGTTTATAATCTTAACGGTAAAATCCCAGGTTTTGATTATCAAGCGGACGGCACAAGTAGTAACATTGAACTAAATGAGGATATGATTCCTATTCTCGAAAATAAATCTATAAAGGAAGAAAAGAAAGACAAAGTGGCACAGATAAAACGCCTSGAGAAAAAGCTGGACAATATCGATGAAAGATTACTATGTATGGAAAATAAATTCAATGAAACATTTGAACAATTGTTAGAACTGCTAAAGACRGATGAAGAAAGCTCAAAGGAGAATATTATTAAATCCGTAGGAAAGATACGTACGACAAGTGTATGATAAATACGATATTGCGATATAATATCACCTTATCTAAC